AACAAACACCTATTTAAGTCCAATAGAGAAGTGAACGGGGAAAAATGATTTACATTTGATCGTAATCCATGTTCGGTTATATTGCCATGAAAACTACTTACAGTCCCCATTTGATTAAAAAAGGCTTCCTTCTAGGTTGATAGTTAAAAAGTGAAAGTTCAAAGAACACTTAAAGGCGTCTATTAATCTTTAACTGTGCTTCAGAGGTTGCTGGGTTGGTCACATTGGCTAAAAAACAAAAACAATAAAAAAACCTGACAGCTTCGGTTTATATTCTCAACTCTTCTCTGACCTCGATAAATACAGAGACTGGGAGACATGAAACAGCCTGAATAAATACTTCCGTAGACGTCAACTCTATTTTTTTTTAACGCATTACTCTTCATATTTGTTCCTACCTAACGCACGCATTCTGACTGAATAGACCCAAGCGACATTTGAACTAAATGTCTATCCAGTTGAGGCAACAAGTTCTCCTCCTCACGCATGTGTAAAATCTGCTTGTTGAAGGAGGAGGGGAGAGGGGCGCGTGAGGGGGTGGGGGGCATAATACAAGTCATCACACGGCTCCTGCTAACTAGATAGTCCTCAACTCAGAACTGCCGCACCAAATGAGAGATCTCAGATCAAAAGAGAGCAAATAAGCGGGTCGCCCGATTCACTCACGCAGCTGCATTGAGAGCAGGGCCAACAGGCGTATCACGGTCTGAAAGGGAGCCGCTATTCAGGCTGCAGGTGTGAAGTATGTGGCACATTCTGCCATATAATGTGGAGGGTTGTTAGAAATCCGTGTTCGAGCCCTATATATACGGGGTGCTGGATGCTGGATAGCACAGAGGGGTGATTCACACTGATGGAGTTCCTCAAATTTGCACAAGAATGTAGAAAAGTAGAAGCAATAAATTATATATGTATATAGTGACGTGTGTATTTGGACTGCTCTTTACAAAAGCGATTCCGGCCTGCTCACTGTGTTGTGTTGTTGTTTGTTTGTTTGCTTTTTCTTATTCTTTAATGCACACCAAATACAGTTAATTCGGCTTGAATGGCAGTCATAAATCTTTATCACAGAAGCCCGTGCTGGCCAATATATCACAGTCAGCGTGATCGCGCGGCATCCCCTTTGGAAACTTAACCTTGGATGGTATCCGGGTGAAATATTTAATATTCGTGACAGCCTTTATGGTTGTGTTTAACTTATGCGCGGTGCGCAGTTTGGCTTTTGACCTCGCCTCTGCGTATTCCATCGAGGTCCTGTAATTAAAAAGTGACCCGAATTTACGCAAACGGGGACGTGGCTATTTATGTAATAATTCTAATTAATCTCATTGATCAAGTGAAGCCATGTTTTCTTCTTCTTCCTTTCTCAGATTACTATGCCACCTGCCCTTCAGCCTTGCCTGTTCATTCCCATTACCATGCCAATTCCGGCCACTTCATTCCTGATAATTGTGACCTGGCTGGTGCTAGAAGTGCTGATGGTTTAGTGTTGGAGTTGGGTATAGGCGTGGAGTACAAGAGGGAGGTGGAAAGCGGTGTGTGTGTGTGTGTGTGCAAGGGGGGTATTAAGAGGGGGGGGGGGGGGGTCTTTTTTTTTCCAAGACTGCTAATCCCCCTATTAAAGGGGCTTTGTTCAATAACGCCGGACAGTTTCCGGAAGTCGGATTACCGCCTCCATTATTTTACAAAGAAATGATATTTCACACTCAAATGAAACCTTGTGTTGGACGCAGCCGTGGCGGTGACATTCTCTAGCAAGAAATTAAATAGATTCATTTTCTTTTGCTTTTGTAACGCTTTGGAAGTTGAGAACCTCCCATCTCTTTTCAGATCCTCGAACAACGGTAATTAATGTGGATATGTATTTCCGGTGAAACTGCCCTTCGGCCACTGGTTGCCAGGGTCTGTTCTTGGTCACAAGGGTCTCTATTGCTCACATACGCACACACACGCAAACACGCGCACACACCTGTTCTTGATTCTTCACCCTTAGGTTGTTCTCAGATCAAAGGTCCCCAACAGAATCAGTGCGTAAAGACGGTCATATTTGCCTTAACTGGTAACTCATCCTTCCTACAAATTCAAACCATCAGTTTATACCCACGTGTTTCAAAGATTTGCACACTATTAATTTGCTCACTCAAAAACCCATTGATCACAAATCATCCAGATAACCCTCAAGAAATATAACTTTAATATGTCAATTTGTTTTTAAATATCATCTGGATTAACTGAATTTGATTAGTAACGCATGTTTGGTTATGTATTTAAATAATTAGAAAAAAAACTGAGCTGTTTTACTTATTATATCATAATGAATAGTGAAGACATTTATGATGATGTATTTATTTAACATACTTAATTTCAAAAACAATATACATATGACTCTTTTGATTATTTTTTATATAATAAAACTGTATATCTTACACTTTCACTATCATAGGTTATTAAAATAATGCAGCTTTCAAACTTAACTGGCTTGTTATAAAAAAAAAAAGAGATTTTTAAAAACCTCGCTGGGGTTTGTCTTGGATCAGTACCACATTTGACACGTTAGGCATTTAAGGCCATGTTTTTATTTACATTACACATGGAAAAACCGTAAATATTAATTGGATGCAAATAATAAGACTGTATTTCAATAATGTTGAATTTCTCTGTTTTGCATCAAAATTGACACCTTCGCCAATAATGGTGACGTAATTGTCCTATTTTCCCAGCCAAAAGAATTTGAAGTACAATTTTATATTTCCATATGGCGGAAATTCACAAAACGAAAGATAGCTAATAGGCTCCTCTGATCGACAAGATACAAGTTCATCGCCTTTTCAGAAAATATGGCTGTTAGTTTTGCAGCACAACCATATCTGTATAGAAGCTGTGTCCATCCGTTCCGGACAGCAGACTTTAAGGGACAGTAGCAACTTTGTCAAAGCAACTCTCGATTGGTGTTGTATGGTTAATAAGCATAAAGGTCACCAAGCCACTGCAGTACACACACTAACAAACGTGCAAAAACAATGCTCTGTCTAACTGTAGTTCCCGCTGTCAAAGTAAAAAAAAAAAATAATAATAATAATAATTTTATTCAAACTTCAAAACCGAATCCGAAAAAAAATAAAAAAAAGTTTTCCATATCTAATTGTCAGTCACTCATTGCTTTATCCAAGCTCGCCCTCTTACTTATTTTCTAACCAAACAACCTTTTTCTTTTTTAAACGTCGCACATTCTTTTCTATTTTGATTCTCAGAGTTGAAATAGAGAGAGAGAGGATCCCAGCAAATCGGCGACAAAAGGCTTTCCGTGTCATCAACGTCGTTCAGACGACCCAGAAAGAATCCCTCTGATACTAACTCCCCACTTCAAAGAATCGCTTTCAATTGAGATCCAACTCTCTCTCTCTCTCTCTCTCTCTCTCTCTGTCTCTGTCTCTTTCTTTCTTTTGGCGCAAGCGACAGGAGCTGGTGCAGGGAGAGAGGCATCCTCCTCCTCCTCCTGCTCTTCTTTTGAACTGCTTTCCGTCATGAACTTAACCAAACTCTGTAAAAGTATCAGTATTGCCGTTCCCCCTCCGTCTCCCCCCGTCCCTCTTCTGGTTATGTCAAGGCCAGAGTGAAACTCTATACGCCGCCAGAAGTTTTCCCGTCCAAAACAGCTGAGTCCTTCTTCGACCTACTTTCGCTACAATTGAAAGAAAGTGAAAATGTCCCTTTCGCGCTTCTTTGTCGGCGATAATTAACTTCCCTCCTTGCAATTAAAACGCGTCGTTATGGCTAATGTATAGACGCAGAAATATGAGTGTCTTCTTTGAGCCTCGTTTTGCAAAAAAAGTCCATTACGGTGACAAACAACTGCGTTTCAGCGGCCACTCCTTTGATTTTTCCTAAAGTAGGCCTTAAGCAAAAGAATATATTTTTTCCCCCTTTTCTTTTTTGCCGCTCTGGTCTGCAGCATAAAGGACGTAGATTACCGTTTCCTACCCCATGGGTAGCAAATATTACATTCTTTGGAGCCAGCTTTTGAGTCCTTGGGACCTGGCCCCATATCATTTGAGTTTGACTTGGCTATTGCTATAGAAATCTTAATTCACCATGAGGATTCACCGTTGTGCAAAAAAGAAAAAAAAAATGGTTTCTTTGTGCAAAATGGCTCTTTGAAGTCTGGATCCGAATATTGTAGCCTTTCATCAAACTAGCAGCCCACAGTCTGGGCCAAAGCAAAGCTGAGCTGAGTAAGTAAGATTTAACACGAGTGGAGCATAATGCACAATACTTTCCCTCTTCAGCTGGTAAATAAAAATTAAAACTGCAATAGTAATTGTTGGTGTTCCGTTGGTTCAAAGACTTGATGAAAGATCTGTGTTGGAAAAATAATTCGGGGGAAAAATATATTAATGCACATGTAAAAATTCTATTCAAACGAAGTATTGGGACAGCAAAAATGTTAACGATTTTTGTCCATATGTTGGAAAAAAAATATTTCCCACAGATCTGCGTTGCTCAAAATTGTTCCACTTTCGTACAAGATTTATTCCAAATACTCACAAAATACAAGGCAGTTCGGTACGCATTTAGTGCTCGATTTTAAGATAAAACAAAAATAAATTTAAAAACAGACATTGATACAAAAAATCACCAGATTTCTTTCTTTCTTTTTTTTTTTACTTTGATAAAACATTTATAATTGACGTCATATACGAAATACTGTAAGCTTATGAAACAGCTGGGGTGGTGGGGGGGAAGGATTTTCTCCCTTTTTTTTTTTTGCACAAATCCATTGCAAATAAAATAAAACAATATAAAAAGATGTAAACCGCTCCTTACAAATCTAGTCAACATCCAAACACATTGAAACTTGTACAAAATTTACAAATGTACAATTCTGCTCCGGTTTTGAAAACATGCACTTTGGTTCGATCGTACAAAATACCTCCATATGCGATTGAAAAATAAATTAAAAAATCATACTGAAGGCAGAAGGGATTTTTTTTGTTTGTCTGTTTTTTTTTTTTTTTTTTTTTTGGTTACAAAAGAAAAAAAGTTGCACACCATCATGCCTTACAGCCTACAATAATGTACGACATAGTCTAATGAGATTTACACGACTCTCCCCACAAGTGGAACAGTTCGCAGGAGAAGCACCCATCCATCAGTTTTGGATCAACTTCATAATAATAATAATAATAATAATAATAATAATAATAATAATAATAATAAAATATATGCTCCTGTTACTTGAAAGCACGTCTGGAAAGATTGCGCATTATCCGTCCAGTGCAGTTAAGTGCGTCTCTTGGCTCTGAGTACCAGTTTTGGCTTATCCAAAACAAAACAAGGGTTTGGGGGTGGGGGGTGTAGTGGGGGGTGGGGGGCGGTGGTAGCGGACCAGAAGGCCCTCACAGGTATATAGGCACTAAAGCCAAACCATTTTAGAAGTTGAGTGTTTGGAAATAAGTGCTGGCGAGGAATTCAAAACGCGTCCCTTGGTTGGGGGTTCCTGTAAGCAGGTTCCTCCGAAGGGTCGGGCGTGGAATGGCCGCTGGGTGGTGTCTGGCCACCGCTAGCACCTGAGCTGTGGCACACGTACCACTCGCTTAAATTGGCTGGCTGCTGCTGCTGCTGCTGCTGCTGCTGCTGAGATGCCCCCACCGGCGGCTCTGACACCACCGACGGTCCCCCGGCTGGCTCCCGACCCAAGTCCGAAGACGGGGACACCAGAGAGGGAGTGGACGACTCATAGCCCGAGCTGGGCGGGGGGGACTTGCAGTGCACCTTCATGTGCTTCCGCAGGGAGCTGGGGTGCGTGTAGGACTTGTCGCAGCCCCGAACTTTGCAGTTGTAGGGCTTGTCGCTGGTGTGCACGTGGGAATGCTTCTTCCTGTCGCTACTGTTGGCGAAGCGTCGGTCGCAGCCGTCGAATTCACACTTAAAGGGTTTCTCGCCTGTTTGCAGCGTGGAGACACAATAAGACATAGAATGCATTAAATATTTGACGTTGCCCATTAACCCGTATTGATTCCTGTGGCTAAATGCAAGCGTTCATTTGTTTGCTCAAGATGAGAGACTTAAGTATTCTGCTGAGCGTCCATATATAGGTAACGTTTTACCAGTTGGCATTAATTGCGTTTGACTGCACCGTGTTATATTTACAGCTGAATCTGACCATTTGATCGGTCTGTGTTGATATGTAATGGACTGCATAATCAGTCAAAAGTCGTACCATTAGAAACTATGAATAGGTGGGTTGTCGACATTTTTAGTTAAATCTTTAGTTGTTTTCGAATGCATTTTGTGGACATCATACTTCAAGATTAATTACATTTTTTTTCCTGTATACCTGGAAAGGAATTCGACCTACTTATATAGCAAAATAAGAGTGCATGTTTTGAATTGTAACTGGATTAAATATATAAGATGATCAACTAATTATTATTTTTTTTTCTGTTGACTTATTCTTTGCTTGCATTGGGGTTAAAAAAAAAAAAGAACAGCCAATTACTATTACCTTCAAAAGCAATATGAATACGTGAAGTTGACTTTTTTTGGGTTGATGCATTTGGCGAAATGTTCATTATTTATTTATTTATTTATTTATTTATTTATTTATTCCAAGGTTTTCATTGCAAATCTACATTTTCTAACATTTACGTCTATTAATCATGTCCATATTTGCATTGTCTAAAGTTTTCTGGAGATGTGAGGTTTCTATTTTTATTTTTTTAAACGGGGCTCCTGCGCCCCTGCTGTCCTCTGTCTTTACCTGGCCACCGTCGACTTACACCTGACTGAAAACGCTGATAAATATTAAGAACAGCACAATATCCTCAGGATATTGATTGGTAGCACAGGCTGCAGGATTCTATTCCAGCCCCTCAAATATGGACTGAATCTAAATTGGCTTTTTTATTATTATTATTATTATTGAGTATTTCTGATTAAATATGAGAGAAAAGTGAGGAAGAAAGAGGTGGGAAAAAAAGACAATCTGAATAAATTAGACGGAAATCATCCACCGCTGAGTTTTTTCTTCTTCTCCTCCTCCGATTAAAGCTTTTGAGAATATGTAATTGCCTCTGTCTAATTACACTTGCGGGTTGAATATCAATTTGACCTTCAGCTGTTGGGTTGAGAGAGCCAATCAAGGATATTAGTGTAGTACAAGAAACCGTTCGAGGAAACAGACCCCAGGGGCAGACCCTAGTCATAACCACACTTTCAGCTTGGGTTTTAAACATGATACCAAAAAGACCAGGCCCCTCGGGAGTCAACACACAGAAATAATTCAACAGATTTGTACTTAGGTAATGTGAGCAAATGATATGAATAATACATTGGGGGAGTGTGGGGGGGGGGTGCAGGAATGGAGCAGAAGAAGGAGGGGTGGTGTGCATGTGTGTGTGAGTGTGTGTATGTGTGGAGGGGGCTGGGGGGTAGGGGGTGCTGTAGTCACTGTAATCATTTACAAGTCTGACTCGACATTTTGAGGCCTTTATTTTCCTTCTGGCTCACAGAGGCAGGCAGCCATATTGACCCATTAGATTTTTTTTTTTAATTTTTATTATGCTACATCTGCGCAGCACACACACAAGTCAGTATGCAAACTCCTTATATACTAGTATACTCTGATCTGATCTGCACAAGTCAACTTGTTGCATTTGCCTTTGCAAACCTCTGTTTGAAACAGTTCTTCATCACACACAGATGCAGTGCAGTAGATTAAGGCAGAAACAAAACAAAACAAAACAAAACAAACAACTGCTCTAGTGACTGAATGCAAATCACTCCAAAATCCGCCATGTAATTAAAAAGCAGTCGTCAAAACAAGTGGAAAAAAGGACAAAACATTTTAATAAAGAAACATCACCGTATCAGTTATTGCGAAAGATGCAACTCTCTCCAACTTTTGCTATCCAGTCATGGTTTGGCACACGCTGAGCTGCTCACACAAGACGTGACGTGGGCCTCCAGCTTTTGTACCGCGGTGTAAACAAGAGGTTTGAACCGTCAAACGCCTGAGTGAGCTGTATCATAATCCCCCCACCCCCCTCCAAATCCGTCCTTTGAGAAACTTTGCAATACACTCGTATAACAGGTGCCTGCTGCGTGCTGGTTAAAGCAACATTTTCGAACTTTTAAAATCGGGACAAATTTGAAAATATTGCGAAAATTGTTTTAGAGGTTAATAATTTATTCATGCAACTTGATTTTACTCCATGCATTAAAAAAACAAACAAACAAACAAACAAAAAAAAACCCTCCAAAGCATTTTACTTGTATGCATCCCCCCCCCATCCCCCCCACTCACCTGTGTGTGTCCTTTTATGGATTTTTAGATTCTCGGATCTTGCAAACACTTTACCGCAGCCGGGGAAGGGGCAGGGGAACGGCTTCTCACCGGTGTGTACTCGAATGTGATTCACCAGTTTGTATTTCGCCTTAAACGGCTTGCCTTCCCTCGGACACTCTTCCCAAAAGCATATGTGGTTCGCCTGCTCCGGTCCTCCGACGTGCTCCACCGTCACATGCGTGACGAGTTCGTGCATGGTGCTGTAAGTTTTAGAGCAGAGTTTCTTGGGCGAGTGCTCCGGCTCCAGCCACTTGCAAATCAGCTCTTGCTTTATCGGCTGCCTCATGTAGCGGAAAAAAGCCCCCGGTCCTCCGTGGTGGTGGTGGGGATGGTGCGGGTGGTGGTGGTGGTGGTGGTGAGCGCCGAGATTCATGTTTAGATTCAGACCGCCGTAGCCGTGCAGAGGCGAGGCGGAGAAGGGATCAGCCCTGGAGCTTGCTACTTGACTCAAGTGATCAGACCGAACGTACATTTCTCCAGGTAGTCCTAACCTTATTTGTCCATTCAGCGACTGGCCACCCGGTGATCCGCTGGAAGGCTGCTCGTGGTGGAGTCCGGAGAAGAGGGTGGTGTGGTTCCCTGCGTCAGGGTGGTGACCATAGTGTCCGGGATAGCTACCTGTTGTTGAGACAAACATTCCGTGGTGAGACGCTGGACCAGCAGTCTGGTCGGTCAGTACCGGCATGGCTTGAGCCGTCAGATCTCTCCGGATGAGGAAATCCCTACCTGCGGATAGAGCCTGGGCAGTATGGGGCATAGAATAAGGGACCGACGTCGGCTGAACCGGGCCAAAAGCTCCCGTTTGACTGGAGACCACTTCACTGTGGCCTGCCATATGATGATTGTGGTGGTGGTGATGGTGGTGGGGATAATGATGGGCTGGGCTGATTTTGAGGGCCGCGGAGTGCCCCATGTGTTCTGGCCCGAATGGACTCGGCCCCAGGCGGGGTTCCGCAGTAATCTCCCCAGGGTGCGAGTGAGCCATTGAGTGTGGATGGCTGCCGAACCCCGGGAAGCCTGTCACGCTCTGAGGGGTATGGTGGTGATGATGGTGATGGTGGTGAGCCCCTGCCAAGTCAACTAATCTCAGCGCCGTGTTCCGTTTGGAAAACGCAGGGTCCATCACGGGGCTTCCCAAAGCATCCACGCTCATTACTTCCTAATTTTAGAATAACTTGACAGCAGGCAAAATAATAATGATGATGGCAAATATATTTTAATCGCAATGAAAAAAAAAATAAAGGAAAAAAAAAAAACTTTATAAAGTTAAGTCTATCTGCAGACAACATGGAATCCCATTCGGTTGAGAGGCAGCAGCAGGACGCTTTGATACTGAATAGAGATTCATGGTAGGCGCTGCAGCCCGTGGAGCCAAACAATCACCCCGCGCTCTAATTGGTCAGAGCTCTGTGATTGACGTCACCAGTGACAGTTCCCAACGTGATGAAAAATGTCTTAGTGACAGCGAGCAGCCCGTGCGCATGCGCTGTGCTGGAGGCAGCGCTTGCGAAAAAAAAAATAGTTATGCAAAGGTTATTATAGAATATAACTATTAAAAAGTTTATCCGGATATTCGGTGTCCTTTTATATTGAGGCAGCAAACAAAGACTGAAGCGAAAGGATACACCCTCAACCCTCCTATTTCTTTCCGCGGCTACATGAAAGAGCGTGCATGTTGACGTATATATTTATAAAATTATGTAGATCATAAATAATGCAGTGATATCTTCATTTTGAACCGCAACGCGCGCAGCCCCAACTATACGCGCAAATTACGCGCAATTTTACGCACGTAAAATGATCGCTGATAGTAGTGGAGGGGGAGAAAAAAAAAAAAGTTGTGCAAAGAATCGCACCGCGTGTCGAGCTTTAAAATAGACCGAAGCAAAAAATAGTTAATAAGCGCTTTGGAGGAAGCTTCGTATTAAAAATATGCAGCCGCCCCTGCTCTGCAGCGTCTGCAGCGGAGTTGGCTCGCCGCTGTAGCCCCAGGGAGATCCGGATCCGTGTCTGTGTGTGTTCAGCGGCTGAACCATTCGGGCGACCCGCGGTCATGCTCCCGGAGAGGATGAAAAATGTAATGGACGGGACCTGTTGTTATGATTCGGAGCGATTTTCCCCCCCTTTGCGTTAGACCTAAGGACGGCAGCAGATGAGGGTCACAGGAGGTGGTTCCGTCGAAGACTTTAATTCCAAAATAAAACGAGTGTGTGCTGTGAGTACCCCAGAGAATAACATTCTCTTATATAACAATTCTGATTTGATCTGAATACTGAAAGGAAAAAAAAAATGCTTGGGTATTTTCTTTTAGCAACCTTTGCCGACGTTCTATTTTAATTCGCTGACGAATGTGATCGTTAAAAAAAGTTAATATAACAATTAGCAGATATTGCATGGTTAGACATTTATGAAACAATGTTGCAGAATCAATAATTCCCTGGGCGGTGAAATGTGGATCCCCCCCCTCTTCTTATCAAGACCAAAACTTCCATCACTTCTCTGCTTTATAAGTTTTTAATCTGCTTGTTTTCTTAAAAAAAATAAAATAAAACTGTTCGAACACCTCACGTTTTTCAACGTTTGGACTGTATTATTTGTTTAATATTTATGATAAGAACTCAAAAATTAAGAAGAAATGCGCTTTTAAAAGTTTTTATATAGGGAACATGTCGCGTTGGTGTTAACTTTAACTGTATATGATTTTGAGAAAGTTATACTTTAAGACTAGTGAGCATTAATTTAATCTCATTGCTTTTCTTTTATGTTTGTGCTAAAAAAATAAAAAAAAGAGGTCCAAATGATGGCAGGAGCGTTTAGGTGACTTTCCGTTTTGGATACTTGAAAAAAAGTAATCGTATAAAATTAATTTAATGCACTTGCCTGGTTGATTATCATTTCTTATTACTTCAAATGAAAGACAAAACTGCCCTGTTATTTTACATTTGCCACGAATTGATCTGTCAGTCCCTTCGCTGACAGCATCGTGTTAGATCATAAGTCAATATTTGGAGACGTGGTGGATCCCGAAGACGTTTATTAAAAGGCCTTTACGCGCGACCGACTCACAGCTGCAGAATTCAAAGAGGGGCATCACAGCAACAGTGAGCAGTGTAATGCAAAACTTGGTCGGCAAGGGGCTATTTCTGATCCAAGTTGAGCATGCACTCACTCAATGAGTCACCGAGTAGCTCTTGGCGACATGTAGGCAGGAAAGCTGCGCAGGATCATAAACAGAAACGCCGCATATTGCAGCGACATCTCATAAAGTGGTGTTGGCCTTAAATCTGCTGTAAATCCGTGACAATAAACATGGTGGTGACATTTAAATTCTGCGCATTCTAGTCACTGCACTAGACAAGAATCGCTCTTTTAATTATGCAACATAATTTGCACTTTAAAATTAGGTCTCTTATTCATTTGAATAACTTTTGCTCAACATTTTTTTTCGTCACCCAGACTTATGTTTATTCTCACTTGTTGCTCATTACGTGCTGTTGTGACACTTGCACGTTTTATGTCAAAGGAGATCCCTTTGAATTGTGCAATGCATATTAAGTTCATACCTTAAGAAAGCCCCCAAAACCTCAAATCTCTACTCCTGAACTTTTACTGTTTCCTCATAGCATGTTGTCTTTGTTTGCGTATTCATACCAAATCTTCTCCTCTTAGGTTTCCAAGAGTGATTTCGAAAAGCAGCGTTCAGATTCTACAACCCAATTCGAGTGACCCATTATGGCCTGGTCTGGGTTGTTTCTTTTGGCTTTAACCACCAGCACCCGGATGCTCCTGCAGAGAGAACACCGCAAATCCCACTTGATAACTTCGACAACCCCATGGACTATATGCACCACTGGCCTGCAAAGAAGGGGCCATGTTGCTCTACCGCAAGCAGGCGAATCGCGATGGACGCATTAGGGATCGTGGTTGTAGGTCCAAGTTAAACACTAACGTGGAAACCGAAATCACAGATGTTCCACAATTTAGACAGGCAAATAAGGTATTCAGAGTTTGATATCCTCTGAGGTAAAGTGATAATTTCATAATAAAACAAAATTCAGAAGGTCGTGTCTGTAGTTAAACGAGACTCCCTGTTGGTCTTTAGAGAAACATACTTGAAATGAAAAAGTCTCCGATTTTCCTCCACAACTAAAGAGCTTCTACCTGAGAACAAACACTGCCCTGACCACCAAAAGCCCATTCTGTCCTTTTTTTTTTTTTTTTTTTAGGAAACATTAGACGGGCAGACTTGGCAATCTAAAGTCCCTTCGTCAATGTTCTTAATTGAAGTTGCTGCTCTTCCCAATTGAATGTGGTTGACAAAGAAAATGTAACACTTTATGGTCATCACATATTTTCTTTATGTTCTGAGGTAATATTTGCCCCCCCGCCCCCTTCTATTTAGCCGTTTAACTAAATTCCCAGTCAGCAATCTGAAAATATCTGCGACTGATGATGTCAAGAGACATGGACGTGCGGGCCACAGCATGGTGGATTGTTATTTGGTGAGTGCATGTTATTGGGGAGCACCAATGAACGAGCAGCTGCAGCTCCCACGTGACCGCCCCCTCTCCTCTCCCATTCATCAGGGCTGGACTGTGTTGTCTTTTCAATTCATTTATCTGCAGGAATGATTGCGACTATCAGTCTAGAGCTCACCGTCTGACTGAGGAGGTGAAAGTTGCGCCACAGGAAGATAAACCGCAAAAAGACAATATTGCATGTAGTAAATACATGGGTTTTTTTGCGTACGCATCGTATGAGCGGTGCAGGGGAATTCCTTCCGTCGTGAACGAAAAAAAAAAGTAAACAGAGAATTCGTTGGATTCGAGTTCAGAAGAGATAAGCTGCACAGAGAGAGGAGGAGGAAGAATATCTGCGCGTGTTTTCTTTGAGTTCTGCGCTCAGTCGTCTCGAAGAGTCAAGACTGAAGATGCTCTTGGACGCAGGACCGCAGTATCCCACCATAGGAGTCACTACTTTCGGCTCCTCTCGGCATCACTCAACAGGAGAGGTGGCGGAGCGGGAAGTGGCGCTGGGGATCAACCCTTTCGCGGACGGCATGGGCGCCTTCAAGATCAACCACAGCTCCCACGACATCAGCTCCGGGCAGACAGCGTTCTCATCCCAAGCTCCCGGCTATGCAGCGGCGGCCGCCCTGGGACACCACCATCACCCGACCCACGTTGGCTCCTACTCCACGGCGGCGTTCAACTCCACCAGGGACTTTCTCTTCAGAAATCGGGGTTTCGGGGACGCGGCTGGGGCGCAGCACAGCCTGTTTGCCTCCGGCAGCTTCGGGGGGCCGCACGGACATTCGGACGCGGCGGGGCACCTGCTCTTCCCAGGGCTCCACGAGCAGGCGGCGAGCCACGCGTCCTCCAACGTGGTGAACAGCCAGATGCGACTGGGCTTCTCGGGGGACGTGTACGGCCGGGCTGATCAGTATGGGCATGTCACGAGCCCGCGTTCCGATCACTACGCGTCCACACAGCTGCACGGCTACGGCCCCATGAACATGAATATGGCTGCGCACCACGGAGCGGGGGCCTTTTTCCGCTACATGAGGCAGCCCATCAAGCAGGAGCTGATCTGCAAGTGGATCGAGCCGGAGCAGTTGACAAACCCCAAAAAGTCGTGTAACAAAACTTTCAGCACCATGCACGAGCTGGTGACCCACCTGACAGTGGAGCACGTGGGGGGGCCTGAACAGACGAACCATGTCTGCTTTTGGGAGGACTGCTCCAGAGAAGGGAAGCCCTTCAAAGCCAAATACAAACTTGTAAATCACATCAGAGTACACACCGGAGAAAAGCCCTTTCCGTGTCCGTTTCCCGGCTGCGGCAAAGTGTTTGCCCGATCGGAAAATCTAAAAATTCACAAAAGGACTCATACCGGTAAGAAATGGCAAAAAATTAACAAATAAATAAATAAAAATATCCTGCCAAATCGGTGCTGACAAAATCCCATCCGAAACATGCATGCGATCCGGGTGGTTATTTACTACAGTAGGGCAGTTGGAGCCTGCAAAGTGACATGCGATGCTTTACAGCTGTCGACAGAAAATACTTCACTGCAAAAATATTGTTTAAAATGTAATTTTAACATTAATGAATTATATGCAGTGCATGCGTACTGCACACTGTTTGATCACAAATTCTAAAAAGAAAAAAAAAACATGCATTTTATCAAAGTGCCTCTTTTAAAAAAACAAAACAACAACAAAAAACATATTTCATTCCTTGCATTATTTAGGTGAGAAGCCTTTTAAGTGCGAGTTCGACGGCTGCGACAGGAGGTTCGCAAACAGCAGTGACCGCAAGAAACACATGCACGTCCACACGTCGGACAAGCCATATCTGTGCAAAATGTGCGACAAGTCGTACACGCATCCCAGCTCCCTCCGAAAACACATGAAGGTAAAAGAAAGAAAAAAAGATACTAATATTGTAAATTATATATACGTGTGTTTTTTCTTCCTCTTTGCAAAAATAACATTAGAAACTCATTTTATGTGTTACAGTAGCATGTCGTTTTCTTCTCTTTTTATGTGTAGTTTTTATTTATTTTTTTAATTATTTTTTTTGTTGCTGTTTTTTTTTTTGGTTTGTTTGTTTTATTTTTAGCAAGATAAAGAAAGTTAATCCTATCTTTTCTCAAGCGCAAAATGAGATTAGGATTTGAATGAGAATAATTGGGCTTTACTTTGTTTTCGATTTGTGAGCATGTCCAAAGCAGTCATGTCAGAAGGAAAATAGCATTTCCTCTTCTGTTTTCTGCATCTAAGTAAATCGAGTGTACTGCATCCACCCCCCTCTCCCCGCCCCACTTCCCCAAATCCCTTCTTTTCACTTCCCCAGGTCCACGAATCCACCAACCCCGGATCGCAGCCTTCCCCAGCTGCCAGTTCAGGGTACGAGTCCTCCACGCCTCCCACCATCGTGTCACCGTCCACAGAGAACCAGAGCAGCAGCTCCATATCACCAGCAGCTTCAGCAGTCCACCACACAACCAGCCACAGCACGCTGTCGTCAAATTTCAATGAATGGTACGTGTAAATATTTTTGAAAAACGCACAAAAAGACAATGGAAAATTTATGAAGACATGAGGAAAAAAAAAAAAGGAAAAAAACTTTTTGGACCTTTCTAAGTGAGAAAGATGGACTGGGAAAAAAGCAGGGGAGGTGAAGTTAAAGACTGTCATCATGCATGGACAGAAACACGGTCAGCTCCTCCTTTTACTGAGGGACTGTACAGAAGCAGATCTCAAAAGAAAAAGCATGCTATCTCCGAGTAGAGGCCTGATTTTTTTTTTTCTTTTTTCTCTTTGCTTTTTTGTAAATATGGATTTCACCAAACTGGAACCCACAGCAAGAAAGAAAAAAAAAAGGAAATGTAATATTTTATTTTGTAAATATCACAGTTTTAAGTGGGGGGAGGGGAATTTGTGAAAAATGTAATGGTCCCTTAGATATATGAGGGTGGCCTCTAAGGCTACTGTGGGGGACAAGAATGTTTAGTTGTGTACCAAAATGTGAATTATTCAGTATTACTACAGTCTACACGTCGACCTAACCGACTCTTAGTATTAATGTGCTTTTTGTAGCCTATCCAGTGCAGCATATTTTTATTTTTTTATTTTTTTCTTAATTTTCGTCCAATTAAGGTCCAGTTTGAATAGCACAGAGTATCATTGTTGTTATTTAATGTCATGTCGATGAATCGTGTAGTGAAAAAAAAAAAAAAAATCCGTGTCAATCTGTTTATGTACGTGCTAAATATATATATAAAAAATCTGTCAATTGCTCTGTCTGAGAGGAAGTATTATTCCATGTAAAGTACCTGGATTTTTCCATATTTATCCGCATGTAAAAGGGCCGGTAACATGTTAGAATATGATCGGTATTTATGGAGAAATGCGCTCGTACAGTATGTCAAATTTTAGTTTACAATAATAATATTAATAATAATAATAATAATGAAAAAAATGTTTGGATACATTTCGTACTATATTAAAGGACTGTAAAAAAAAAATACAGAACATGTATTTCATTGGAGGTTATTGGGGGTTGATTTTTAAATTACACTGAAAATAAGTACCAAATTAGATCTCTTCCTATGTAAAGTAATTTATTTACGTGAATAATTCTAAAGCAAATAAGTTAAAGTCTTCATTATAATGACGTGTGTGTGTGTGTGTGTGTGAGGTGTGGTGTGTGTGCGTGTGTGTGTTAGAACTTTCCTGTCACTCGATAATAACTACTAAATTCACTTCCCCCCTCTTTCTCTCTTTCTGCTGCTTCTGGATCTTCTGTTTATCCAAAATTAACATCCACCGCTTTGCCCTCCAGTAATGCGCAAATTAAATCGATTAATCACGGCTGTTGTTCCTCGGTGGATAAAACCGGAGTAAGCTATTTTGCGTTACTTAATTGTTCGGGAATCTAATTTTCAAATCTAATTTATTTTCTTTTTCCTTTTTATTCTTGCGTTTTTTTTCGGATTTTCTATCCTAGATTAAGATAAAAAGAGAGAGACAGAGAGGGAGATAGAGACAGAAAGAGAGAAAAAGAGAGAGAGTGGGAGAGAGGGAAAGAGGGAGAGCCTGGGAGTCAACTTGGGACCCCTCCTCCCCTTCTCCACTCATCCCTCCTTTTTCCACACACACTTCATTGTTCCTGGCTGCAGCTTGCTTGACCGCCCCATTAGGCAGAGATCACATCAGCAGCCGCCACTGATCATGGTTAACACTGCCAGGGCTCACGGATCCGCCGCGATCTGTCAGTTTGCAGACACATGCAGCCGACATGAAAACGTAAACCCTTAAAAAATAAGGAAGAAAAGAAAAGAAAATCTCAAAACGCTGAAACGTATAGCAAGCAGAGCAAGCTTCATATGAGATGATTATGCTGGAAATGCATTGAAATGTATTCATATTTTCTTTTCACGGACTATTACACGTGAAGATAAATGAAGGATGGCAATAAAATGACTTTTTTTCGACTCTATTTAACACTATCTATCTATCTGGTCTCAGTGCAGATGCACCAACGACGCACCGCGACAGGGGAAAAATTCGCACTTCCCAGTCCGAGGAAGTCACTTAGCAGCTTTATAGATTAAAACAAAACAAAACAAAACAAAAAATTTAAAGTGGACGCGTGCATTTCGTTTAAAACTATGACCGACATTCAGATAAAATGGCTTTGTTTGTCATTTAAATCCAGCTCCGTTGCCATCATTTACAAAAGGGAAGCGCTGGAGCGTTAAAGACTTCCCAAGATGTTAGGAGTTTTGTATGAATTCCTGCTCACCCTCTGCTGCACATAGCTGCAAATTTGACTCGATTGTTCTTCTTTAATTGCGTGCAGAACTTTACAGTCAACAACAACAGGCATGCAATGGAGATACTAGACGCCATTGGGGCATAATGTCGGAATATAAATAATTCCAAATTGCATTTTATTTATTTCTTTATTTTTTACTTAAAATGAACTAGTAAATACTAACATGTACTCCAATAGTTTGTTATTAATGTGGAATTAAAAATAGGCAGAAGGGAACAACTTCTAAAGCAGGAGAAAGGCATTTTTTTCTGATTAAAGTATATGGTCTAAATAACAAGTTTCAAGTCTTCTTCAGCATAAGACGATCTTTTTTCTAGAACCACATTAGAGTTGAAACATTTTTGTTACACTCTAAACTGTGCGTTGCTGTCAACAACCATCCAGTAAGTTATGTGTTGAATAATAGTGGCACAACTACAAAACGGTTTTACCATAAAATAAAGCAACAATAATGTCCAGAGTTACCTTTGAACAGAACGCAATTTAAAACAATTAATGTACGTTATGGTGCAGGTTTGTTGTACACCTTCCTGAAATTAATACATTAAGGATTTTTATTTTATTTTACTTTTTTAAGCAAATGTAAAAATAATAATTAAAAAAAATGTTGATCAGTGGAGAATATTCCACTTTAGTCAAGAATAGTATCCCGTTCAGGGTGCAGTTCTCCTGTTTTTTCCTGGTTGGTCAATGTTATTCCAGTGAACCAGATTGTTTTCAGAAGGCGTTTCAAATCTACAGTAAGACAATATCAGTGGGTTCACTGTGAAAACCATTAATTATTGTCATTTTTGCAACAGCAAATTAAAAACTGTAATTTTCTTGTTAAATCAACAGAAATATTTTACAGTGTAACTTGCCACTTCCGTGTTCAGACATGGACAAGCAACATTTCTTCGATTTTTCAAAACTTTTACAGTTAATTTGTTTTATTATTATTATTGTTACATGTAGCTTCACGGATCACTATCACCTGCACAAACAGCACTGAGCACAATTTAGTTTGTTTATTATTATTATCATTATTATTATTATTATTATTATTATTATTATTATTATTATTATTATTATTATTAGTAGTAGTAGTAGTAGTAGTAGTAGTAGTAGTAGTAGTAGTAGTAGTAGTATCCAAGCATTTTAGCTATCGTGAATATTTAGGCAATTTCTTTTATTTAATGTTCACACATATTTCTTGGATATCGAATCGGGGAATTTTATTAAGTGCACGAACCCCAGTAAAAAAAATGTTTGGCAACGCATGTGGTCTTGCCTGCCAGTTCAACTTACAGAAAGAAAAAAAAATATCCGGTCTTTGAACATGCTATTTAATTTCATAAAGTTTTTTACACTGTGAACCTATACACTCCAAGCAATCACACACATAACAAAAAAGGAAAAAGCTCGTAAAGAAATGTGTCGGCGACAAGTTGCTCAAATAGTATGGCGGGGTGGGGGACAGACAGTGGGGTACACGGGGCATCCAAAACATCTACTTCAGATATATTTACGCGCAAGTTTGGAAATGACAACCGCTCCAGATATCGGAGAAGGCGCAAGTGCCACCGTCATGAATATTTATCAGCAGCACTTCACTTGTGGCCAGCAAACCGAGCCTGAAGTGTGTGTGTGTGTGTGTTAGCAAAGGTACAGGCGCAGTCTGCAGCTTATCTGCGCATCAGAATGCTGCTGCTCACACATTTAGAGGCGGAATTGACTGTTTGACAACAAACAACAGTCGGTGCATGGGTGCAGGCTATCGTGGCACGTTTGGAAGATGAAACATGAGGAGATTTGTTTCTCGTGCTTTCTTAGATTCTGATTTCAGATGGAAGTACTTTTTTTGTCTTTGCAGACATTTTTTTAAACGCATGCAACAACATTTTGCAGATAATTGCTGCCTTTAGACTAACTATTTTTTGGGGGAATAATTACTACACCCTGATTACAGAGCAGAACCAAATCAATAAATTCGAAATTGGCACTTGAGTTTAACTTTAATGTTTCTTTTGTTGTTGGTTGTTTTTCTGTGTGCAAAAAATGCAATTTAGGGAGTGAAAAAAAAACAAAAAACGTCTCTATCCATATACTGCATCTGCTCCACTTGAAGATCCGCAGAGAAAAGGTCAAATTCAAGTCAAGGGCACTTTAATGCACATTATTAGTGTGCAGGCATTTATAAAACCGCCACTTTTAAAATACAGTTCCAGCCATGAAACGATTCCACATGTCAGAATCAATCGGAAAAAAAAATATAAAAATTTACTTACAACAAAAATCCAAGAATTAATATTCGATAGTCGTTTATCCCTTCTATATTTTACATTATTATTCCATAATTGCCTTTTTTTAACTATTCGCATACCGAAAAATAATTCAAATAATTAAATTGGTCTATTCAGCATTTTAAACAAGGGTTATCATTTCATAAGTATCACTACATAAATGGTATTAACCCTTAAAGGACTGTACTTAAAATTTATTTTATGTAATTTCATTAGTCTTTCTAAGCATTTGTTTCCATGTGTTGTATATCAAAACGTTCACCACCTCATCATCTCCATGCGTGTAGATGTTAGCTTCTAGGGCAGAGCAAAGGCATAAGACATTATTTGAAGCAATAGTTGACAAACAGAAGTTGTGTCTAATTTGGTGCGGGGGGGCGGATTGGGGGGGGGAAACATCATTATGTAGTTGAATTGCTATAGTGCTCCGAATGGTGGAATGTGTAAAGAATTTATTAAACAAACAGGGTTAAAATGAAGCTTATCAGAAACATTGCCTATTATAGTAGGGAGACGCTTGGTCTGCTGTCGTATTTTCAGCCTGTACTAAAGGTGTAATGAAAATGTAATAAGACCTATAGATGAAATCTCCTCTAAATATAAGAAAGTTTATTTTCTCTGTGCTCTGTGTATTGCAGAATGAATCCACTAATCATATATATATATATATATATATATATATATATATATATATATATA